CTCCCCCTACTCTCTGCCCCCAGGGACCTCTGGAAGGGAAGGAAGGCAGGGGTCGCCTCTGGCTTACCTTGGCTCTTCAGGCAGCCCATCAGGGGTCCAGCAACCACATGTGGTGCGTGAAGGCTATTGTGGGCAGCTCAAGTTAAAGCCCACCTTGAGCAGGCCCTGGGCTTCATTCTGGTCCCTTTACCTGTCATGTCATCACAACGACAGCTCAGTTTAGCATCTGGATTATCACGTCTCTTAACAAAAGTGGTTTTGAATTTTCTGCTTTCTGGTATAATTTTCCCTTAGGCTCTTTTTTTTTTAATTTATTTTTTGAAAAAATTGGTTTGAAAGGTACTGGTTCACTCCACAAATGCCTCTAACAGCTTGGGTTGGGCCAGGCCAATGCCAGGAGCCCAGAACTCAATTCAGGGCTCCCTCGGGGGAGTAGTTGAGCCACCACCTGCTGTCTTCCAGGAAGTGCATGAGCAAGAAGCTGGAACTGGGAGCAGAGCCGGGACTTGAACCCTGGCACTTCGATATGGGATGCAGGTGACCCAAGAGGCATCTTACCTGCTGCAGCAAATGTTCACCCCGCTGTTGGGTTTTGGGCTGGTAGCTCCTCATATCACTTGGTTCTCTGATGTTCTGTGAACTTCTAAACGTTGACCCAGCATTGTCATTTGCTCTCTGTGAAAAGAAACGACTAGTGCGTAGCCTGGCCTTGAATGCCCTACCCTTCCAATAGCTCTATCAAGGAGTTTTCAGGTTCTGAACAGACCAAGAGGAGAGTTTACCAAGTTTAGAAGAGAAGAGGAGAGAAGGAAGTGAGCCTGCTTTTGCTTCATGAACTTTCTGAATTTATTTCAGCATGGCACTATAGCTAAGGAGCAGAACTTGGAATTACTTGGAAAAGAAAATGTATATGCAATCCTTATTCTCAGAAATAAAACTATGGAGTTGCATTTAATCTAAATGATTTTACTGACACATGTTCCCCCTAAGTACAGCCTGAGATTTTATTTTAAAGCACTTGATTCATCTGCTTCAGAGATTTAAAGATGCATCGCAAAGTTATGTTGGTGGCGAGGTCTGTGGCCGTGTGCTAAACCAGAGGCAACTCTGCTTTGCCAGTTTTCTCCTTTACTATGACTGCGGATCAGAACAGGGTGCCAACTAAAACTGACTCCTCCTGATGCTCTGGAAAGAAGCCAGTGGAACAAAATAAAAATACTATGTGTATTTTTAAATCCCTGAATGTAGATAGCAAACTATCCCCTGAATATTTTTAAATTCAAGAATTTCATAATATAACGAATACATAGTAGTAGAAAGATGATCTTTGTGTAGTACAAGATACTAAGGAATTTTATTTTTTGGTGGAAGCTGGCAATTTTACTGTCAGAACACAAGAGGGGAAATACACATTTACTATTTAAAAATCAATCATCACTCATCTTCAAAAAACGTGATCAATTCAGATGATTGAATCTTTTTTCCTATTGATATTAGGTAGCAGCAGTTTCTAGAAATTTAACAAACCAGAGAGGAAATCTTAAAGTTGAAAAATCCTGTCCACTTGAAGTCTCACCAGTATTGCTTACTTCCTGGTTAAATTCAAGTGTTCATCCTTTTGTGCCACCTCACACGTAATCCTTTGATCTTGCGATCCCTGAAACACTGTCCATCTGTCCTCCCACCAACATGACTCTGAAATTAGATGAACCAAGTCACAACTGCTCGTAGAAGACCCCCGTGCTTTCTTCTTCCACACCTCCACACCTCCACACTCTCCTACTTCTTGGTAAGTGTTTGAATTGTGGTAGCCATTAGGAACCTCGGACTCCAATTCTGCCTTTTCTAGGGCTCTTTTCCCTGGGCTCGAAGGACCTGTCCTTGGCAGTACTCACCTCTTTAGACCTCTCTCTTCTAGGCTTCAGTGACATGTACCTCTGCTCTCCGATCTATCCTGTGGATCTTCTCCATCCAGCCTTTCCCCACTCCCTAAATGATGCTATTGTTTCCTCAAGATTGTCATTTAAATTCTGTTAGCCCACACTTCTAGGCAGATGACTGCTGAAACTTATCATTTCCTGGCTGGCGCCGCGGCTCACTAGGCTAATCCTTCGCCTGCGGCGCCAGCACACCAAGTTCTAGTCCCGGTCTGGGCACCAGATTCTGTCCCGGTTGCTCCTCTTCCAGTCCAGCTCTCTGCTGTGGCCTGGGAGTGCAGTGGAGGATGGCCCAGGTGCTTGGGCCCAGCACCGGCATGGGAGACCAGGAGAAGCACCTGGCTTCTGGCTTCGGACCAACACAAACAAACAAACAAACAAAAACAAAAAAAAACCTTCTCATTTCCCATGCGAGATTCAATCTATCTCTTGGCTACCTTTACCTGAATCTTCTGCTGATGATACCAACCCCATTTATGACACATACACCAGTTAAATTTTTCATGACACTCCCTCATTTTTCTGTGTCTTTGAAGGCAACACTCTCTTTGCAAGGGCTCAAGCTTGAAAATCTAGCTTCATTTCTGCTCTCACATTTGCATGCTCCAAGTACAGTCAGTTTCCAGAACACACCATTTCTTTTCTTTTTTCTTTTTTTTTTTTTTTTTTTACAGGCAGAGTTAAGACAGAGAGAGAGAGAGACAGAGAGAAAGGTCTTCCTTTTGCCGTTGGTTCATCCCCCAAGTGTCTGCTATGGCCGGTGCATTGCAGCTGGCGTGCTGCACTGATCCAAAGCCAGGAGCCAGGTGCTTCCTCCTGGTCTCCCATGCGGGTGCAGGGCCCAAGCACCTGGGCCATCCTCCACTGCCTTCCCGGGCCACAGCAGAGAGCTGGACTGGAAGAGGAGCAACCGGGACAGAACCCGGTGCCCTGACCGGGACTAGAACCCAGGGTGCCGGCGCCGCAGGTGGAGGATTAGCCTAGTGAGCCGCGGCACCAGCCCAAAACACACCATTTCTAAGTCTGTTCGAACTGTCTGATTTTTCCATTCTCTGCCTCCAGGTGGTTCACCACCCTGGCCCAGGACAACTTCTCAGTTTCATCTGTGGTCATTCTGGTTCCCACATAAGACACACGTTAGGGGGTCACCACCTGCAATGCTGGCATCCCATATGGGCACCGGTTCGAGTCCCAGCTGCTCTACTTCCGATCTACTTCTCTGCTATTGGCCCAAGTCCCAAACACCCATGTGGAAGATCTGGAAGCAGCTCCTGGCTTTGGATCAGCGCAGCTCCGGCTATTGTGGCCACCTCATGGGAAAAGAGTATCAACAAAGGGAGAGTCAGAGGACATTGTTATTTGGGTGAAAATGAAAGTAAGCGTTTTAGAAGAGCCCACTGATGACTTGTGGTTTCCGATGCCCACCCTCCCCACCTTGAATCCATTCCAGCTGGGCTTTCCCCTCCATTGGTCCCCAGAAACTGCTTGTAAGGGTCGTCACTGGCCCTGTGCTGCGAAGTCTGTCTTCTACGCCTGCTCTTCTGCATTTCAGTTAACAGTTCCATCCTTCTAAGTGATCATGTCCAAAGCCTTGCAGCCATCATACACATCTCTCTTTCTCTCGAATTCTTAAGCCTCAGAACGTATCCAGACTCATCCCCTCTGCTGCCACAAGTGGGCCCAAGTGTTACCATCGTCTGCCTGGATTCTCACCTGCTCTCCCAACCCTAACGCCAGTGCTCTTACCAGCAGCAGCCAGGAGAATCCGGCTGAAACCTACGTCAGATCATCCCGCTCTGTGACCCCAACTCCACGTCAGTGAGTTCAGAGAAATGCTCTAAACCCAGCCCGGTCCAGAGGCCCAGGGTGATTGGAGCTCGGGTCCCCTCTCCTCTGGCCCCTTTACTCCAGAACTCTGGTCTCCCTGACATTTCTGTGACATACAGGGTGTTCCCAAAGCCTGGAAAGCGAGTCCTTCCGCCATCCACGCCTCCCTCACCTGGAGCACACCTCTGCTCCGGCAGCCGACACTAACCACCTCCCTCACTTGGCTCTAGTTTTCCTCTTTTCATTTTACCTGCCACTTTATAATAGTTATATAATTTGCTTATTTGTCACATTTATTGTTATGTCTTCCTGCTAGACTGTAAGTCTGGTGTTGACTGAAATATCCCAAGCTATTACAATATCCGTAACAGTTCTTGGCACACAGAAAATGCATACAGTACTAAATATCTGTTGAGTGGGAGAACAAAAGACTTTGGGAATAAAAATTCAGAAAAAGGCCAGGACCCAGGCCAGTTCATGTACGTATAGCAGCAAACCACGTGAGGACTGGAACCACAGAATGAAAGGAATTTGTGATGTATCTAAGTCTTTCGATTCCTATATGAGGGGGCTTCAAAAAGCTCACAGAAGTGTGCACTATCTTCTAATTCCACTTTCCACAAACTTTCTGAAGTCCCCTTATATACAGGTACTCTGGTATGTGAAAGACGTCTATTTGAAACACTTTTATTGTTCATTTATTTAAAAGACCCTAAGTAGTACAGGATAGCATGAACGTTTGACTATGGGCTTGTCTAAATAAGACCAAAGTTGGCGAACTCAAAAGGCTTCCATAGCCTTGGCAACTCATGACAAGAGCCTAGGGTGATTACTGTCGCCATAAACAAGAGAGTCAATTTGTTAAGTCAACAACAGGAGTCACTGTGCACTTACTCCCCATGTAGGATCTTTGTCCTTAATGTGTTGTACAATGTGAATTAATGCTATAACTAGTACTCAAACAGTACTTTACACTTGGTGTTTCTGTGTGGGTGCAAACTGTTGAAATCTTTACTTATTATATACTAAATCGATCTTCTGTACATAAAGATAATTGAAAATGAATCTTGATGTGAATGGGATGGGAGAGGGAGCGGGAGATGGGAGGGGTGCGGGTGGGAGGGAAGTTATCGGGGGGAGAAAGCCACTGTAATCCATAAGCTGCACTTTGGAAATTTATATTTATTAAATAAAAGTTAAAAAAGGCATCAATATTGAAAGACCATAATAACATTCTTGAATATTTATAAATACTGACCATTCTTAAGTGTCAATTAATAATATATTGGCAGTGATAGAATAACACCAAATCATATGTAATTTGAAAATAGACAGTAAAAACTGGTTAGGAAGCTAGTTGGTCAAATGAAAGCTAAACACTGACAAGCCCAAATTTTTTCATCTTTTTTATATATTAAGCAATAAAGTACACAGTTGATTCTAACATGAAAATACAAATAAAAATTTACTGGTAAGCCACAAATACTGAGAAACTTAATATATGAGCAGTACATGAGAAGCATTTTTTACATTCTATAAATATGATTCTTAGCATTGTTTTGGCCCTTTGCCAACGGCCTTTTAATGCAATGACTGATTTCTTAATAAGAGTGTCTGGATGTATGAAAACAAAATCACTTATTTATGGTTAAAACCATAATGCTTCTAAAAATAATGTACATCTGGAATGTGAAGAATTTTTTGAGGGGGGAAAGGGATCTGTTCTGCATATAAATCATCAGATCTTAGACAACGAAGTAAAACTTAGCTTTCCTTAATTAGAATTATCTTGGCTTTCAAAATTGCAATTTTAAAATGAACCAACATCTTCACTGATTTCTCTAGTAAATCTAAGCAGAGAAATCTGGACAGAACCTCTTCTGAACATGGAATTTTTTTAAAGATTTATTTTATTTATTCAAAAGGCAGAGCTACGTGGGGGAGAGGGATCCTCCATTCATTGGTTCACTCCCCAAATGGCTGCAGAAGTCAGGAGCCAGGAGCTTCATCTGAGTCTCCCACATGGGTGCAGGGGCCCAAGAACTTGGGCCATCTTCCGCTGCGTTCCCAGGTACATTAGTGGGGAGGTGGATCAGAAGTAGAGAAGCCAGGACTCAAACTGGCGCCCACACAGCATAACGGCACTGCAGGCGGCAACTTAACCCGTTATGCTACAACGCCATCCCCTGAAAATGGAATATTAAAATCAACAATCAAGCTATCTACCAATCTATATTAAATCACATAAACATATACACACTTATACATACATGCATACCTTAAAAAACTTTCATTAGGAAAGAAGATAAAGCTATGTAAGAAAACACAATGATATTAACACTTTAGGTTTTGTCATGTAGGTTAACTTTAAGTAAAATACATACTATAAATCCTAAATTTCAAACATTAATGGGTCGGAGGAGAGGTTATCAGGATTATCTGAAGCACTGAAAGAGAATGCGTATTAACTTCAGCAGTGGGCTTATCTTTATTCTGCACAGCCCAGTACTAAAGTAAGTCCTCACCCTGTAAGGCATACTGCCTGGGGACAGGCAGGCTGGTTTTCACGTGCTGTAGGTGACCAGGTTGACCATATATGCACAAGTATTAGCATGGCTTTCACAAATATTTTCAATATAGCCTCACAATGAAACACCATTCTCTACCAGACCAGCTTCAGGAGGAGGACACACTCAACTGGTGAATACTTAAGTGTGTGTCCTGGGAGAATGGTGAAACAACTGTGAAGTTGAGATAATTCTGGAAACCAAAAATGCTTACAGTAAAGGAATACAACAAACTAGTCAACCAGGCACAAGTTCAGGAGCAAGAGTCACGTTTACAGTTTTGAAGTAGAGTCTGTGTTTCTTTTTACACTTAGCTGTAATGTTTAGTGAAGTGGTAGAGACTGAAAACCAAATTAAAAATCAAAGTTCAGCTTATACTTGGTCCTCTATGGCTCTTTTCATTCAATGAAGGATTGTTTCAGTGGAATCTTTAATGAAGATGTTTATTCTCTTTTAAATAGATTACAAAATTACATCATATTTTATAAACTAAATGTTTGAAAAAATAATACTTGTTAGGTAAGAAGCTCTATTTCTGTTTCTCTTTTTTTTCAAATATTCTTTATTTGTAACAAGGGCCGGAAGATCACTCTGGACATTTGCGTCAGTGAAAAATAGCCCTAAGTCTGTGCTTGAACCCAGAGCAGAGATGAGACCACCAGCCCTCAGGGCTCAGGCCTGAGTACACATGGCACTTCCCCACTGCCTGGCACACGGCACAGGCTAATGGCTATCACCAGACAGAGACATTTCCACTCCAGTAAACATCGAGTGCTACTGTGAGACAGGTTTTAAGTTTACTCAGGGCTTCCGTTAGTTTTCATGGGAAAACAAAAGAGAAATTAAGTGAGCCAACAGAGACGGACGCCTCCAGAACATGACGTGTGCACAGACTCTTCTTTACGGTATAGTGTACCTTACGCTAGGGGATATTCTGAAGTGTTATGGGTGAAATTATATGGTGTCCTGGTTTGCTTTAAAATATTTCAGGAAAAACACTGTGTATGTGAAGAAGAGATGAAACATGGCAGAACCTGAGCAACTGGTCTACCTGGGCAGTTGGTACTTACAGGTTCTTTCTACTGTTATCTGTCCTTTGGTTTGACAATAAATAATAATGAATTAAAGTAAATTTCAAATAAAAATACTAAGGGAAAAATAAACGTATCTTCACCTGTAACACTGCTGTTTAACTGGATATTTTGTAAAGATCTATACAAGACTATCTGATGTTGTTAAAATAGTTAATAGTTGGGAACACCTTAATCGTTGATCAAGATGCAAATAGTGAAACACACCACAAGACTCCAGGCAAACATTACAGAGCAAACTGTTGAGTGAAGGAGGTCCCACAGCAGCGCAGAGAGACCCACAGCTGCTGAGGGAACCCTCTGAGGAGCCTTCACCCAGTGTTCAGATGGCGTCTCTACAAACGGGAAATGCAAGTGGTTTTCTAATTTTTTCTTGAAACTAAAGTATTCAAACTTTTTATAGGAGTAGATACTGATCTTATAACTTCAGAAACTTTTCTACATCCTGTAGTTTTTCTCATTTTGTTATTCTTTCTAGCTGATGAAATTATTTTCTTTTACAAAAGTCATGCCATGTCTTAAGTGAGAAAGTGAGAAAGTGCTGTACTTCTAAAATAATATGAAATCCAGGATAGATTTCATTTATTTCTAAAAATGCAAAGGACAGTTTTTAAGGCCATACATGATTTTCCTTGACTGCTTACTGAGTACACTAAAACGTAAAATGTCAAAAACTATATAAAACAAAATATCATAACATATACAAGAATAGACTTAAATATCTTTTGGTTAATTCTAATCAGGCTGAAAATTCTATTAGTTATAGAAAGCAATATCATTTGGAAGAGAAAAGAAGAACATGTTTTCTACTTGGTTCTTAAAGAATTTGAATTGAAAGTATCTCAACAGTTCTATGCAAAACTATATTTGTAGATATTTCAGCATAGAACAGATAACAGAACAGAATAAAACGTAACTTCTAGATGCATGATTTTGTAAATTCAGTGCCATGAACTAAGCTTTATTCATTAAATTTCAAGTTTAAACTTAGCACAGCAGCACCTTTGGAGTAAATTTTAACTTAATGGTAAACCTCTGAAACATTTTAGGTTTACTTCCTTGGGTAAGAGTACAACAAATTAGATACTCTAGTAGCTGTCAGTTTCACACATCTAGGCAGTCTGCAGCTGCTGTGCCTCCACAGTCAGAAAAACGTCTCCTCAGGACGGAGGGGAGGAGCCCCGAGGTGGGACTTCTCTCCATGCCGGCCCTCTCGGGGATCGTTATGGCAGAGAACGGTTGCTGTGTCCACTCCTAAGTCGAGATGTGTACTGTTCCCACCACTTCTTACTTCCTTGCTGATTTTAAGGTTTCAGGGAACTTAAAAATTACCCTTTCTTATCAAGAGATCAGAGAGCTCCAAGTGTGGCAATCCCATTTTGGAAAATGTAAGGAAAAATTAATCAACAGATACCTGGTAGAAAATTTCTTTCTTTATGTCCATGATCTAAGCTTTAGGAATGATGCGAGATTTCTTAGGTTTTGATTTATCCAACTCATGTATCTGTATCAAAATGAGGAATAATATTTTATTAAAAAATAACTGTATTCATATATACTTATATTTATGCTAGGGTAGACATTCTGTTCTTTATCATGTTTCTAGATGATCTTGAGCCAATCTCTTAAATTTTCTTACTTAAAATGTTTTAATGGTTTAGCATATGACGAATAGTCCCCGGTTAAATTTTTTACCTGGTTCCTAGGAGAACTGGACTGCCCATAATGGGTAGTATTAGAGTGATGCTTCTTGGGTGGTTTTGAAGATTGCAAACGTAATTTCCTTTTAGGTCTGTGGACTGGTCTGCTATCAAAATCCTCAGTTTGATTTGCTGACTGTTGATGTAGTATCTGTGAATCATCTGTTTCTGTGTCTGATTCAAAAATATGTGGTTGTCTTTTTATCTTTAATGACTCATGGCCCTTCCCTAAGATTTGTGCTGTGTGTTTGCTTGTTAAATTTTCTTTTCCGTTCAATGGGAAGTTAGTAGCACTTTTTATCACACCTAAATTATTTGATATTTGAAATACTGCATTACTAGGTGGCTGCTTACTTTGATTTAAATGAACACTTGATGTTGCATTAGAAAAAGAATACTTGGTCATCTTTAGGGACTTGGTGTCTTTCTCTCGCCGAGGTGTGGAACTCTTCTGATTTACATTTCTTGCATGCATCTGAATGTTACTATTAGACCCTTTTTTAATAGCTGGACCTAAATTCAGCTTATTGTCCTGGATCATGGTAGTTTTAATTGAAAATGATTTATATTCTGTAACAGTGTGTTTTGTTTTCAGTTTGCCAAATGCTGACTCGTTTTTGTTTGTCTGTAACAATTTGGTTTTGAAAATTGGCACAAATTTAGGGGTGATTTTACTTTGGGAACTGAGATTGGTGTGATTAGCTTGAGCATTTTCTCTGCTGGGCTTTGACATTTCCAAATGTTCTTGTGGTACCTGGTTAGACCCAGGTATCCTTCTCCCAGAAACAGCCTCTGGCTGAGAATGTGAAGCTGAGAAAATGCCTGGCTTTGGCTGGCTGCTCAAAAGTGCCCCCTTGTGGCCCACTGCTACTGAACATGGTGGAAGAGTTGGAGCCAGGGCAGGTGTTCTGGAAGTGGCTTGAGTCATACAAGTCCTGAACAGATGTTTAGTGGTCAAATTGGGTGGCTTGACTTTGTTTTCCTGAAAGGATAGAGATTAGGAAAATTTTAAAATGTAATAAATGTCCTTAATGGAAGGTAAAACATAAAATATTCATCACAATAAAAATGTAAAGTAATACTACCATACGTAGAACAGGTGAAGAAAAGCGAAACATAAATGGGCCTTCTGGTGGAAATGTGTACATTTTTTGACATTGCCTTCTTTTTGTAGCTTGGCCATCTTTTCAAGATAATGTTTTAAGATGAATGTATCTTCTAAGAGCAGTATCAATCAACAACTAACCTGTACACATAGCTTGCCCACTGGCCTCCAGAGTGTGGTTCTTGTGGCCATTTGGATAAATACTGCACCCTCTGGGGCTAGCACACGGACACTGGTCTCCTTGGAGATGAGGAGGTTGTGAGACCATGCCAAAAGAGCTATCAAGCTCTTCCCTCTGACAAAAATGAAAGAGAGTTTTCTCACACCCAACTAGGGTGTCACCTTGGAAACCCCTCTCCCTGGTGCACTGAACACAGCTCCCTGGCCACACCCAGCACACGCTTCTGAGTATTCAGTGAAAGAGCACACACTCCACTAACCCACTGTAGCACAGTTCAAAGATAAAGCTGTCAGAGGGGGAAAAAACCAAACCAACAAGGATCTCCACAAATGAGTAAAACTAAACACAGAAATTCTAGTAACAAGAATAAGAAAGACAACATAATGTCCCTAATGAACACAACACTTAAATACCTGAATGTGAGGATGAAGAGATTGAAGAAATGCCAGAAATTTATTATAGGATTAATCAGAAGTAATCATAAACAAATCCACTAATTAAAATATTCATACATGACATGAATGAAAATTTTCCTATGAAATTGAGATTTTAAAGCAAGAATCAAAATGAAATATTAGAAATGAAGAATTCAATAGATCAAATAAAAATTGCAGTGGAAGCCTTAACAACAGACTCGATGAGGCAGAAGAAAGAATATCTGAGTTAGAAGACAAAGTTCCAGAAATTTTACAATCAGACCAAAAAAAATAAATAAATAAAGAAGAAGAAATTAGAAAACTTAAAAACAGTGTTGGAGATTTATGGATACTATCAAATGACCTAACATATGGGTCCCTAGGAGTTCCTGAAGGCGGGGAAAGAGAGAATGGATTAAGCCTTTTTAGTGAAATAATAACAGAAAACTTCCCCAATTTGGAGAAAGAAAGGGATGTCCAAGTACAGAAAGCACATAAAAATCCTAATAAAATGACCAGAAAAGATTTTCACCACGGCATATTGTAAAACTTTCCACAGTAAAACATAAAGAAAAGATTCTAAAATGTCCACAAGAAAAACACCAGATTAGTTTCAGAGGATCTCCAATTAGACTCACAACAGATTTCTCATCAGTAGCCCTACAGACTAGAAGAGAATGGCGAAATATATTCCAAGTTTTAAGAGGAAAAAAGAACCTGTAAACCTAGAATACTGTACCCTGCAAAGCTCTCACTTGTGAATGAAGGTGAAATGAAGACTTTCCATAACAATCAGAAATTGAAAGAATTTGTCAGCACTTGTACAGCCTTGCAAAAGATGCTTAAAGATGTGCTACACACAGAAAAAAAGAAACATGGTCATCACTATGAAAGAAGGTAAACACAGAAAAACTCTCATTAAAGTACAAAGGAAATCCAAAGTAAACAATAGGGATATTTATGGGAAAATTGTAGGTCCAAGTCATTACTTATCAATAGTCACATTGAATAGTAAATGGCTTCAACTCTCCAGTTAAAGATATGGACTGGATGAATGGATTAAAAAACAAGATCCATCTATTTGCTGCCTACAAGAAACACCTCTCACCAAACAAAGATACATGCAGACTAAAAGTGAAAGGATGGAAAAACATATTCCATGCTAACAGAAACCAAAAGAGAGCTACTATAGCCATTCTAATATCAGACTAACTGGACTTTAACACAAAAACTGTTAAAAAAAGACAAATAAAGGCACTATGTAATAACTAAAGGATCAATTCAACGGGAAGATGTGACTATAATAAATGCACATGCACCCAATTACAGGGTACCTGGCTATTTAAAAGAAACATTAACGGATCTAAAGGGAGACATAGACTCCACTACAATAGTAATGGGGGACTTCAATACCTCACTTTAAGCAATGGACAGATCAACCAGACACAAAATCAGTAAGGAAACAACAGAGTCAATTGACACTATAGACCAAGTGGACCAAATGGATATCCACAGAGCTTTGCATCCTACAGTTGCAGAATACACATTCTTCTCACCAGTGCATGGAACTTTCTTTAGGATGAGCACAGGGCAGACCATAAAGCAAGTCTCAGCAAATTAAAAAAAAATCAAAATCATACCATGTATCTCCTCAGACCACAATTGAATGAAGCTGGAAATCAAAAACTCAGGAATCTCTAGAACACATGCAAACCCATGGAGATGAACAACATGCTCCTGAATGAATAATGGGTCATAGAAAAAAATCAAGAGATTAAAAATTTCTGGAAATGAATGAAGATGACAATATAACACATCAAAACTTATGGGATACATATAACAGATACCACAGAAATAAAAATAATAATCAGAAATTACCACAAAGAGCTGTATGCCAACAAACTGGGAAACCTAGAAGAAATGGAAAGATTCCTGGACACATACAGATCACCTAAATTGAGCCATGAAGACACAGAAAACCTAGACAGAACAATAACAAAGATGAAAGTTGAATCAGTAATAAAGACCCTCTCAACAAAGAAAAACCCAGGACTGGATGGCTTTAGTGCTGAATTCTACCAGACATTTAAAGAAGAACTAACTCCAATTCTTCTCAAGCTATTCAAAACAATTGAAAGGGAGGGAATCCTCTTAAACTCCTTCTATGAAGCCAGTATCACCTTAATTCCTAAACCTGAAAAAGATACAACAGAGAAAGAGAAATACAGACCAATTTCCCTGATGAACATAGACACAAAAATCCTCAACAAAATACTAGCCAATAGAATCCAACAACACATCAGAAAGATCATTTACCTGGACCAAGTGGAATTTATCCTTGATATTCAAGGATGGTTCAACATTCACAAATCAATGAGATATATTACATTCACAAACTGAAGAACAAAAACCACATGATTATCTCTACTTTGATAAAATACAACATCCTTTAAGCAAATTGGGCATAAAAGGAACATTCCTTAGCATAATCAAGGCAATTTATGACAAACCCATGGCCAGCATCCTATTGAAGGGGGAAAAGTTGGAAGCATTCCCACTAAGATCTGGAACCAACAAGGATGCTCACTCTCACCACTGCTATTCAATATAGTCCTGGAAGTTTTAGCCAGAACCATTAGGTAAGAAAAGGAAATCAAAGGAATACAAATTGGGAAGGAGGAAGTCAAACTATCCCTATTTGAAGATGACATGCTTCTATATTTAGGGGATCCAAAAGACTCCACTAAGAGACTTTTTGAACTCATAAAAATGTTTGGTATAGTGGCAGGACATAAAATTAACACACAAAAATCAAAAGCCTTTGTATACACAATGCCACAGCTGAGAAAGAACTTCAAAGAGCAATCCCATTCACAATAGCTATCAAAAAATTAAATAACTCAGAATAAATTTAACCAAGGACACCAAAGAGCTCTATGATGAGAATTACAAAACATTAAAGAAAGAAAGAAAGAAATAGAATAAGACACAAAAAAATGGAAAAAATCTTCCATGTTCATGGATTGGAAAAATCAATACCATCAAAATGTCCATACTACCAAAAGCATTTTAAAGATTCAATGTGATACCAATCAAATACCAAGGACATTCTTCTCAGATATAGAAAAAAGGATGCTGAAATTCATATGGAAACACAAAAGACCCTGAATAGCCAAAGCAATCTTATACAATAAACATAAAGCCAGAGGCATCACAATACCCGATATTAAGACCTATATAGGGCAGTTGTGGTGGAATGAGGTGAAAAGTTCATGGCAAGATGGCTGCTGAGTTGAAAAGATCATGCCAAGATGGCTGCTGACAACAGAAACTGCCTGGCAACAGGCCATGATTAGATGGCTTCGGAAACCACATGACAACAGAGGAAACCACATGACAACAGAGCCTGACTAATGGCAGGCCATGACTGGATGGTTTCAGAAACTGCCTGGCAACAAGAGCCTAAGGCAATAGGCTGTGATTGGATGGCTTTGCAAACTGCCTGGCAACAGGCTGTGATTGGTTGGGGCATAGACCACCCCTTGACCAGATTGGCTGGTCTTGACTATATAAGCTGTTGTACTAACTGAAATAAATGAGTCTGCAGGCTGCTTGCCTCAAGCTCACTTTCACCTGACTCCTGGGGTCTGTGTGATGACTCCACGCCTCTTGCCCCTACCACGCTCCTCCTCTCAGAAAGGAATCCACTGCAACATTGTTGAGAAATCACCTGCAACAGGCAGTTATATTCAAAACAGGCTAGTACTTGCACAAAACAGATGGATACACCAATGGAACAGAATAGAAACTCTAGAAATCAACCCACGCATCTATAGCCAATGTATCTTTGACAATAGAGCTAGAATCAATCCCTGGAGCTAGGACAGTCTCTTCAACAAATGGTGCTGGTAAAACTAGATCTCTGCATGCAGAAGCATGAAGCAAGACCCCTAACTTACACCTTACTCAAAAATCCACTCAAAATTGTTCAAAGACCTAAATCTACAACCTGATACCATCAAATTATTAGAGAAAATTGGGGAAACCCTGCAAGACATTGGCATAGGCAAAGAGTTCTTGGAAAAGGCCCCAGAAGCACATGCAATCAAAGCCAAAATTGACAATGGGATTACATAAAATTAAGAAGCATCTGTACTGCAAAAGAAACACTCAGCAAAATGAAGAAGCAACTAACAAAATGGGAGAAATTATTTGCAAACTATGCAACTGATAAAGGATTGATATCCAGAATATATAAAGAACTCAAAAAACTTAACAAC